ACAGCACTTGTCACCGCTCGTCCATCCAGACCCCACACCATTGACCATCACTGACCACTCAATCCTTGTTGGAAATATCCAAGTAATTTTGTCTGGACGGTATCTCTGATAAAAGCAGATTTTATTCGCGATTGCAATGGCGGGCGTCCCGCAAGCAGGAGCACACCTATGGATACATCATGAGAGCCTTTAGACCCGGTTTTCTCCCCCTTGCCTCCCCCCCCTCCTCTGTTTCCCCACTGGCTGGGTACTCCAGGTTCACAATCTTATCAGAAGGTTTACATTTGCTATTTACTTGTCAATTTATTTGTTATCTGGTGCCAGTCAGTAGCCATCCTGTTGTTTCCAAAATGTCTCCATGCTCTCCTTGTATTGATACAGTGATTTTCTTTAAAGTCTTCGTTGAACAAAGAGTACTGGGGGATGATGCCAGGCCTTCCAGTGTCTCTTAGGGCGCTTCCTTGGGCATGTGGAGTTCTCTCCACGTGGAGAACCATGGCTAGTTCTCTGGTTTGCTCTCGTGCAGGATATTCTTGCAGTGTGTATGACAAAATATGCATCTATACACCTATATACAATGTGTGCGTTCCCAGGAAGGTTCGTCTAGAGGATAAGTAATGTGAACTTACCAGAGATCTTCCACAAGTTAAGTAGAAGGACTCCCAAAAAGAACTATGATAGCGGAGATCATGAAAAAAAAAAAAAAAAAAAAAAAAATATCCAATTCTAAGGCAGAAACAACATTTGATTCCCACAGAGGGAAGTGCCAAACACTCCTCGGGTGCTTTCATCATTGCTGTAATTCTGCACAAGACACCTTTCGATACCACGGCGATGAAAAGCTATGCTAAAGCTTAAGGCAGCAATGTGACAGAGGCGCTGTGAAAGGGGAGTGCATCAGAGAGGGTGTGTTTGTGTAGTGCCTGGGGCCATATTCAGCCTGGACTTTAAGCGAGACAGTTCAGGTGCCCAAAGGTGGACAGCCTTGTGGCAATCCTCGGGCAGTGGGCAGCGCAAACACTGTGGCGCAGGTGATGGCATAATGGGGCCTTTGTGACGCCCATGGAACGCCTGGGGCTACCCAGGCACGGCACGGCAGCCCCTCAGTGTCCAGGAGGACAGCGACGGGACTGCACGGGAGCAGCGAGGCTCTTCGAGGAGCTCCACTTCTACCGATAGCGTTCCCTCAGAGTCCCAGTTCTTGTGTTCCCCGGGGACAGAGATGGATGGCCGAGAGTCGTTCGAATCGTTCGAGGAGATCCGCGGTCTCCAGACCGGTGAGTACGCGGGCGGCACCGGGCCCGGCCAGCCGCAGCCCCGGCTCCGGGCTCCGCGGCGGGCTGCGGTCGGGGCTCGTGGCCGTGTGCCACGGCGGCGCCGTGCCAGCCGCTACACGTGGAGCCCGCCAGCGAGCGAGGCTTTGAGTCGGGCTGGGCGGGACCGCGGCCAGGGAGCGCACCCTGCTCGACGCCGGGAGCCTCGTTCCTCGCTCCGCCAGGGGAAGAGCGGGCACCGGCGCCGGAGCCGATGCGTGGCTCCCCCGTCTGCGGGGCGGCGGCAACGGAGCCGGAGAGGGCGCGGCTCTTCCCTGCGCCTACCGCCCTCGCCCCCAGCTCTCCACGCTCCTTCTTTAGCAGATGACGCTGCCGCTGCCTTCGGCGTCGAGCAGCTGGATGACAAGGAGAAGGAGGACTGCGAGTTCTTCTGGTCCTTCCTCGCCGGCCAGGAAAAGGTAACGATGTCCGACTTCGTCGGCGCGAGGCTCTGCCCGCCGCTCCCAGCCGGGTGCCGCCGTGCTTGCTGCCCGCACCCAGGCTCTCGGAGCGCGGCTGGCCGCGCAGAGCTGCTGCCCTCCCGGCCCCCCGCACCACCGCTGCACCCCCTCCGCGCAGCGGCCCCGCTGCTCGCGCCCTCTCACTCTTCCCGTTCGTCTCCTCGACTGTCAGGAGCTGGACGCGAGGACGAGCTTCCTGGTCTCCCTCCGTACCGTCTGCAGACTGCGGCTGGAGGGGAGGTACCTGGCCGACGGCAAGCTGGACGCGCAGCACGAGGTGAGGGGCACCCGGCGAGGCTGAAGGAAGGGGCCGAGCTGGCCGGATGCCGGCCCGGCGGTGCGAACGGGGACGAGTGGGACAGATCTCTTTGGGCGCAGAGCTGCCTGCCGGCCATGGGGCTTCTGCCTCGGGTGCCGGTGTCGGCGCGGGGACAGCGGTGCTGTGCACCCTCGTGCTGGCTGCCGGCAGCGCCCGAGTCCCAGCTCAGTTGCGCCGTCCGTCTCTCTCCAGGTGCTACTGCGGAAGAAGTTCCCCCAGTACTGGCAACCGCTGATGTGCCTGGGCAGGCACGCCGCGCTCGCCATCACTGCAAGGAGGCAAGTGCCCCAGAGCCCGGCTGTGCAAGGGCTCTCCACAGCAAGGGCCTGACAGCAGCAGGCATGCCCCAGCTGCCAGCATCCAACAGGCATTTCCTCTCCTTGCAGCACTGAGATCATAGCCCAGATCCAACAGCACCTCAGCCCCTGTGTTAGCTACATCTGCTTTCTCGCCGAACAGGAGAAAGAGATCAGCTTTGACGCTTCTCTCTACAATGAGGTAAGAGCTGGCTGTGCTACAGAGAGCCTGCCAGCCAATTCTGCACGCTTTTTCCAGTTAGCTTTGGCTGCTGGAAGGAGACAGCCAAGGCAGACCCGGAGGCACCACAGGGCAGGCTCCTGGCACTGTAGGGTGGCTGAATTCTGCTTCAGGTGGCAGGAGTTGAAGCCAGCTTCCTGCAAAAAAAGGGCAAGCAAAAGTGCACACCTGCTCTGTTCTTCTTGCAGATGCTGCAAGCTCTGGACAGCGTGCTGCATGTGCTGCTGCGTCTTCCGCCACACTCCGCCACCCTCAACCTGGTGATCGTCTTGCAGGTCTGGCACGTGCAGAGAGCAAGGCTCACAGGGGCTCTTCCTTCCTCCAGAGAGAAGGGATGCTCTGGGGTGGGCACCGTGTCCCAGAAAGAGGCACAGAAAGCGGGCAATGGGGTGGGGACGCAACCACCTGAAGTCCAGTGGTTTGCACCTGAGCAGCGGAAGGCTGCTGAGTGCCCTTCCCAGACCCCGCAGCGGCGGCTGGCACCGCTGACCCACTGCCCTCCTTTACCTGCCTCGGGGATACTCTTTGTGCCAGATGTCAGCAAGGCCGAGGTCTGCTGGGATGTGGCCACCATGCGAAGGGAGCTCAGCCTTGAAACGCTCTTCTTCTGGCCGCTGAGGGCACCCAGCAGCATGCCAGCCCCAAAGCCCTTCCCTCTTGGAAAAGGGGCAGAGCCATTTTGTAGGAGCTGAGGGTGGGGATAATGATTGGTGACCGCAGCAGGTCTCCGCTGGGGCAGCCATTCCTGAGGCTGCCAGGAGGCCGGGCCTCCATTCCAGGCTCTTCTCCTGTTCAGGGGAAGCCTGGGCACCTTGTCAGTGCCCCGCCAGTTGCCCGGCACAGCGGCCGCTTCAGGAGCTGCCATCGCATCTGTGGTTGACCAACAGCTTTTGTCTTCTCAGGCCCTGCTGCCCTGCGCCGAATCTGAGTGGCTGAGAGTGCGCCGGTGTGCCATGGGGAGGATTGCCAACCTGAGCAAAGTCCTAGTCCCTGCTTCTCTGATAGCGGTAAGAAGCCGGAGAGACGGGCAGCGTTTAACCCCCTTCTTGCCCCTTCCTGGTGCCCCAGTAAGCTGGTAGCTCTGGGCTCCCTGCAAGACCAGCAGGTCTGGGACAGAGTCCTCTACACACCAAAATCCAGCAGCCACTCAAAACCCTTCAACAGTTCTCACCAAAGACAGTCCGTGTGCTCCTCACCTAGATGTGGGTCTGCCACGGGTCAGCCCCTGCGTGGCCCAGGGCAGAGCTGGCCAAAGCGCTGGTGCTCAACTCCTGTAGTGCTCAACCCGCTGCTGGCTCTGGGGGGACAGGGCTTTTGTCCCAGGCGCACCAGTTCAGCCCAGCAACTCTGCCTTTCCTTCGTTCCTCAGAGCTCGACTCAATACAGTGAAAGCTGGGACGGCGATCGCTCCATACAAAACCAGTCCAAGATGCTCGTGGGGAAGCTGTTGGGGCACCTCATCCTGGGCTGTGCCGAGGAGGACCAGGACATCAGGCGTGATTCTATGGAGGCTCTGCATGGCATCCACAGGATCCTGGCAATGCGAGAGAGTAAGAGAGGCTGGGATGGGCTGCGGTGCTCCACACAATAACTTCCAGGCGAGGCAGCGCACCTCTTTGGCCGCCCTCCTTGTCTTGGCGAGTCTATAGCAGCGGCATGGCAGGGCTGCTCTCCTCCTTCAGGGCAGAAAGCTGGACCTAGCTCTCCTGCCTCTCTGCAGCCTGAGAGGTGCTCTTCTTGCCTTCTCCCCATCAGTCCTACCACTCACTCTCTTACTCCTTCTGCCCAGGTTACAAGTTTGGACATGCCAATCTCCAATCGTATGCGGATGGTGAATGCTGGGACTTTTTCTGTGCCCAGTATGCTGCTCTGAATACACTGGTAAGCAGCTCGTCCCTTGCTGGGATGCTAGACTCCCCGTGGCAGGAGGCTCATGTGAGCCAACGGGCCAGTTAGTGTGGGCACGAGGCAGGGGCTGTCTCAGCCTCTCAACAATCTGGCTGCAGGGTCCAGCCGTGTCTCAGCTGGGAGTAGCCAAAGACTTTCTCTCAGTGTCAGAGCTGTGATTGCAGCTGTTCTGGCTATCGGTGAGCCCCCGCTGCTTGCAGAGCCAGCGCTCTGTGACCCTGACTCCAGCCCAGCCATGGCTCTGCACAACAGCTCCCTCTCTGCACCCGCTGAGGCTGCAGTCAGCTCAGCGCTGGGCTCCCCTGGGTTACAGCGCCAGTGCTGCCCTGGATCTCTCCCCCTCTCCAGAGCCACCCTCGCTGCTGCTCACATGTGTCCCATCACCATTAAACACACTGCATCTGGCCTTATCTCCCTTCCTCCTTCCCACAGGTAGTGGGCAGCTGGCTCTGCCCCAGCGAGATGGGAGACTTCATCCTAACCATCCTGCAGGGCATAACGCAGCCAAGGGTCTCTGACACCGATGTGGTTGCCAGGACGTTGGATGCGGTCCTGAAAGATGCGGACCCTCAGCTCTCGAACGTAAGCACTTCTCAGCCAGATTGCCCTGTGCTTTTGCCCTCTGCGGGGCTTCCCCTGACCTGAGAGTGCAGCCTGAGAGCTTGGCTGGCTTTTCAGACCAGTGAAGCGCCACAGGAGGAAGCAGCATTACCCCCTGGCAGCTGGGGCTGTGGCTTTGCTCCATCTCAGTGCCCTTTTGTCTCCTCCAGGTGCCACTGATCGTGCAGAGCATCTACGACCACCTCATGTCGGACTGTGAGGAGTCGCTCCGGGACATTGCGATCCGGACCCTTCAGCAGATGACACGCTTGAACCCACAGTGTGTGGTCAGCTTCGTGCTGCGTGACATCCCATGGTGCGACACTTGCGGGGCCCGCACACCTCATGGATGGCTCAAGACCCTTGGGGCCAGCACAGGCCAAGGGATGGTGGCTGGGGCAGTCCCTGACACAGCGTGCTTTGTCTCTGCAGGTCTTCTGCAATCATGTGGCAGACGATGGTCTCCGAACCCAGCCTTGCAGAGGTCGTGCTGGAGTCCCTGCTGCAGAAATGGCCAAAGCCCAGGCACGATGGCCTTGGCCCGGGCCACAATTGCACCGGTTACCTGGCAGTGAGTTTCTGGATGACACCTCGCTCACCCCTGGCAGGGCTGCATTCCCCACGCCTCCTCTCTTCTCCACTCCCTTTCCCTTCCTTACTGTCTCTTCCCACCTCCCCCCTGCAGCCCCTCCGCAGCCCTTTGTCCTCTCTTTCCTTGCCCCTCGAACCCCAGCATGTCACCCCATGGGCTTGGGCAGCATGGCAGGGGCAGCTGTACCCTGAGGGCCATCCTTGGGTGCTTCCTGCAGATAAGTCATGCCCTGCACGCGATCCTCCATCTGCCCTCCACTAAAGGCTCTGCTTGGCAGCTGATCCACAAGCTGTACGTAGGGATGCTCTTCCAGATCTCCTTCCTGCTGCAGTGCACACAGCATGGCTGCTTCAGTGCGATCACCGATGATGAGGACATGTCGCCTGTGAACATCATCAGGTGCTCCATCCCCGCTGCCGGGTCTCTGCCCCAGGCTCAGAGCCAGGGCTTCCAGTGTGACGCACGCTTTGCTGTGTCCGCAGGCATGCGGTGGAGAGCATGAGAGCTCTTTTCCAACACCTGAAGAGTGACGGTCTGGTGGAGGACATAGAGCAGCAGGGTGGCTGGGACATGCTTATGAGCCTTGACACCTACCACACAGGCGTGGCTGTGCTGACCAGGTGAGAGCCTCCCCACTTGTCCCTGTCTCCCCAGCTCTTTTCCCCTGGAGAGGGGCTGCTGTTGCCTGGTGAGAAAGGACTTGCAGGGCCTGTCACCTCCCAGAGCACCCTTTCCCTGCGCACTGCTGGCTGCGGCTATTGCCGGGGCTGGCTCTGCATGCAGTGCCGCGGCCTGTGCCGGAGATGTGTGGCAGAGCAGCCAGAAGGGTGGCCTTCGAGCCAACGAAGAGCCCAGGGACTTGGGAAGCTGAGGTGGCCAGCAGCGGGCACCTGTGGGAAGACCACAAGTTGTTCGTAAGATAGGCTTCTCAGCAAACTGAGTGCATCTCTGTGTTCGTTCCCTGACCAGGGCGCTGCGAAGCACAGTACCGCTCTGCTGTCCCATGGTGTTTGAAGAAACAGTCACAGCTCTCGCGCAAAGACAGGAGCACAAGGAGATCGGGACCATGGCTGTGTTTGCTGAGGTGGGCCTAGAGGCGAGCGGTGCCTCCTGGAGGTGCCTCTGCCTTAGTCTGTGTGGCAGAGTGGGGAGGGTCAGGTTGCATGTCCACAGAGCAGGGCCGCTCTCACCGCTGGGGACAGCCCTGCCCCAAGGCCTTTTCCCCTCGAGGCTGAGGAAAAGGGTGGAAGAACATGCATTTGGTGCAGCTCCTGAGAGCGAGAGGCTGCACATGGCTGTGAGGGCAGGAGCAGCAGGAAGGGAGCTGCTGTGCTGCCACGAGACAGAACTGTGGCTGGCCCTTGGCCTCCTGCCCTGGGCCTTGAGGGGGGGCGGCAGTTCATCACATGGATCCTGCCGACGGGGACGGCCTCTCATGGTACTGCTGGGTGTGTTTCAGCTGCTGAAGTGCGTTAAGGTCACTGACATCGTGGCGTACGTCAATGGCTACAGCATCCAGAGCCTGCTCCAGTCACACCTGAAGAGTCAGTACTCATTGCTGCGTGACTTGGCTACCACCAGCCTGGTCAGGCTGTCTGCGATACCCGAGATGGTGAGTGGGTGGCACTGAGACAAAGGGATGGCAAAGAGGGCCTGCAGCCCAGCCCCAGGCGGCGGTGCCCACATAGGCTTGCCTGGACTTTGTCCGTAATACTGAGAGTTGTCAGCTGCGCTACTGCCCCACTGCCTTTTTCATCAGCCATTGAGGGCTGCACTGATACCAATGGTTGCTTTGGAAGCCAAAGGCAGCAGCCCTCCATTCCATCCCATCCCATCCCATCCCATCCCATCCCATCCCATCCCATCCCATCCCATCCCATCCCATCCCATCCCATCCCATTCCATCCCACGGGACACTGTGTGCTCAGATCCAGCCCCAAACAGGTCTCTGCCCTGGGCTGTGCGGTCTGTAAGCAGAGGTGTTCTGCTGGGGTGGTGCTTGAGGTTTCTGAAGAAGAAATGCTGTGTTTGCCACAGGCAGTAACTCTGCAAGACCTGCTGCCAGAGATCACAGAGCAACTGCAAGATGCCCACAGCATCATCGGTGTGAAGTCTGTGACTGTCCTCCACAACATGCTGCACCTGGCAGACAGAGAGAAGGTGGTGCCCACTGCCCTGCAGCTGCCTGAGCTCCTGCTGCCCTTCTTCTTTAACGTAAGGCCAGTGGGGGAGTGGGAGGCTTGGAAGTATGGCTGCGGGGCGTATGAGCGCGTGGTGTGTGCCTAACTGGACTGGCCTACGAATTCTCCTCTTCCCACCACAGTGCCTGGCTGTGTGCAGGAAATCTTTTGCTTGGTGCTTCTCAGGCTGTCGTGCTGGGGCAGCCCCTCCCGTGCGGAGCCCTGCAGATGCACAGCTTTGACAGTGGTGTACAGCTGCGCAATGGTGCTGCTTGCACAGCTGGCTTTTTGCAGCTCCCTGCTGTGAGCGGGAGAGTCACAAACGTTTGGGTCCCTGTTGGCCAGCCCACGCCCTTGCTCGACCTTGGCTTGGAGGCTTGGAGAAGGCAGGACTCAGTTCTGTGTCTCTTGTTCTGTGTCACCAGGAGTCCGCCCAGACGAGGCAGCGCTCCATCCTTCTCTGTAAGGATGCCATGGAGGTTGCAGGGGACACCCACACAGTGGAGATTAAGGAGGAAGTGCACAACATCCTCGTGCCTCTCTTCTTCCACCTGCATGACGAGGACCAGAGCGTGGCTCAGGTGGGCATTTCTAAACTGCACGGTCACTGGAGGAAGCAGGTGCTGACAGCCCTCAGGATGGCCTGGGCATTGGCAGCACCCAGTGCCAGAGATGGTGGTTGGCCCATGCCCCTGCCTGAGCACAGAACAGATACCTTTCCCCAGCTGCTGCATCTTCCTTCTCACCAGAGCCCAATAAAGCCCCAAGCTGTGGCAAGGTGCAGGACACACCAGCCCTGTTTGGCAGGCACTGAAGGCATCTCCTGGTCTCTGTTCCTCTGCAGGCCTCCTGGGAAGCCCTTCTTTGTGCCGCCAAGCTGCTGAAGCACAGGCACCTCAGCTATCTGCTGAAGACAGCGCAGCTGCAGAGGATCGGCGAGTGCCTGGTAAGGACAAGTGCCCCAGAGCTCCTGAGATCTGGCCCAGATGAGGCCTGCCAGGCCTGGCCCAGGGTGTGGGGCCAGTGCCCATGCCTCTACCACAGCTTCATGCTGAAGGGCACAGCCTGCTGCCGTTCATATACCCCTTCCCCTCAAGTGCCCGGCAGCTTGGGCTCTTCTCCGGCCTCCTTTCCCTCGCGGAGGCCCATGCTATGCATGGCCCTTGCCTGCCCGAGGGGAAGAGAATGCGCCAGCCCCATCCATGTGTGCTGTCTTCCAGCTGGTGGGCCACAGCAGCAGAGCAGATCAGTTCCTGGAGCAGAGCCTGTCCTACCTATGCAGCCCCCAGGAACCACTGCAAGAGGCGGCCATCAGGTTCATTGGTGAGCCACGAACCCCGACCCTTCTGCGCCCCGCAGCAGCTCGACCCCAGCATGTGCTGCTGCTGGCTGAGCCATGTGCCCGCGGAGCTGTGCTGGCCCAAGGCGGGGGCTGGGTTCTCGAGGGGCTCCCTGCTGCCCTCCCGCAGCCCTGCCTGTGCAGCGGGTGGCGGTGGGAGCCTTGCTGGGTGCCTTGGTGCCTCTCAGGGTGCTGCAGTCGCGGGTGCGTGGCCAGGCCAGCAAGGATGCTGGGGGAACTGTGCTGGAGAGGTGGGCTGGCCACCTCCCATCCCTCCCATCCTGGTGGGATTTCTGACGGGCTGTGTGTGTCTAGGGCTTGCCGGGAGACACCTGAGAAATGGACGTGAGGAGAAGCTGAACACCACCATTGAGGGTGAGTGAGAGCAGCGTGGGGGTCAAAGCAGTGTGGCAGGGAGAAGAAAAGACACTGGGCGGCGAGCTGCAATCCTGGTCCCGACCCAGGAGCGCTCTGCAACCTCTGCGGACAAGGGGCAGTGCGGGCAAAGCAGCGAGCGTTTGCTGCCAGCCCCTCTGCAGCTGACCCCGCTGTATCCCTGCTCCATTCTGGCCCTGGGAAGAGCTGGGTGGGGTGGCTACACAGGAGAATTTCCTGGCTTGCTTTGCACAGACGAGGGCTCTGATTTCCACTCTGTTCTCTTCCACATCAGCCCTGAGAAGTTTGGAGAGCACCAGCAGCCCTTCCATTTCCATCCTGCTGGCTGAAACCATCCAGCTCCTGAGAACAACGCCTGTAATCAGCACCCAGCAAGCTCTTTGTTACCGGCTCAGAAGTGTGTGGGAGAGGAAGCTGCACTCCCTAAGAGCTGTCTGGCTGTGCTACTCTGGCTGAGTTCAGGGCTGCCCCCAGCTCCAGCCCTGAGGCCCTGCACACCCCTTTGTGTGCTCCTTGCTGGCTCCTCTGGCTTCCCTGAAAGACAGCCAGCCTTCTTGCTTCACCGTGCTGTTACTGAAGGACACCAGTGCACCATCATCTTCACTCGCAGTAGGGAAGCTTTTGTCTTTACATCTACATCTATGTATTAACATCTATTTACTAATACAGAATAAACATCATCTGTATTATTCATGCAGCGTAGGTATCATGTGATTTAACACCCCCGTTGAGTCACAAGGCTGCTTTCTAAGCCTCTAGGTCCAGCTGAATTCACTCCTACTTGCGGGGCCGATCAACGGTTTGTGTCTGCAGGATCACAGGAGCACAGTCAACCTAAGCTAAACTCTTAGCGAAGCTGACAGAGCCTAAAAAAACCATGAGGTGCTTGCTGAGGTCTATATTGGGCAGGCCAGAAGAGGAAGTATCAAGGGCCTACTGTGAACGTCTTGGTCCTAGAGGGTGCCCTGCAGACCAGCAGTGCTGAGAGCTCTGGCTCTCTGGATGAAGAGACGGTAGAGAGTGGGACAGCTTCAAAAGCTACTTGACTGTCTCCAGATACAGAAGTTAACCTGCTTTATTTTGTTTTTCTTCACAACGACTTGCAGAGCTCCTCTAGAAGGCAGGGTGGCTGAAAGACTTTCTTATCGCTTCCATGCTACATTAAGCCAGATCAATAAGGCTAAAGCTAGGAAGCTGGTGAATGAACCATTTGTGGGGGAGAAGGAGTGTGGGAGCACATCTTCACACCATGTGGGTGGATGTCAGCCCCTTCTGCCCTACCTCCAGCATCTGCCTCTGGCGCCATGGGCTGACGTAACAAAATAGGAGGCGTTGCTTTTCTTAAAACACAGAAAGGGCAGCACCAAAACCATCTGGCGTTTCTGTGAAACACCTCAGTCTGTCAGATGGAAGCAGCTGCCATACTCAGTGAGGTCTCAAGGTGTTTGTCAGAGATTTCGGATACGTTTCTCCTGTGCTTCCTCCTTGAGAATGGGTGCTCACAACTGTGCGTGTGGCCTAAAAGCGGTGACACGAATACGGCGTGGTGTTTCTCTCTGCTAAGATAGGGCCACTGCTGTGAAGGCGCCGGGCAGGGACGGCTGCCCTGCGAGCTGTGCTGGGCCGTGTGGGCCACGGCCCACGGCTCAGAGCACCCGTCAGCTCTCAACACGATCGCGGCTGTTTTTCAGAGGCAGCCCTGCACAATTCCCATTGGTTAATGTCACGGGCTATCCTTAGATATAAGTCCGTGACAAGGGCACAGCCCCGGGAAGAAGAGGAAAAAAAAACGGTTACGAACGGTTTGCCGCCACCCGGCCGGCCCCGGGCCACGCGCGTCCCGGAGAGGGGGAAGGGCAGAGAGCTGGCGGGCAGTGTTAACAAAGAGAAAACACGACGGCAACGATCTGAGGAGGAAGGGTAATTTTCTGAATCGAACTAAAAGAAAACGAGAGAGACGAGAGTATCAAAAAATGAGAGTCAAACCACGACAGTGCGAGGAAAGCACGCGCTTTCTCCGCGGCGAGCTGAGCCGGCTGAGCCGGGCCAGAAGGAGAGAGGCAGCCGCTCCGGGTCCCGTCCGCAGCTCCACCGCACTCCTGTGCCCGCCAGGTCCTCCGGGGATGCCGCCCCCTCCCCTCCCATGGCGATACTCAAAGAGTCCGCAAAAGACAGTAAAGGGAACCAGCACATTCACGCGTTAACTCCCACTGGTCCCCATGATGTTCAGATGTGGAATACTGACCGCAAAAAATCACGAAACCACAACAGCTAACACCCAGTTCACACTGAGGGCAGCTCCCCAGCCTCTTCTTCCCTGCCTTCTTTCTTCCAAAAGCCTTGTGGCGCTCCGTTGTAGCACCCCAGTGTGGTGGTTCGTCTCACCGCACTGCTGTGATAGGTCACTGTTTTTTGACTGCACTGTAGCTCCTTCTACTTCTTAACCGTGCTGCATGTGTTGAGGCTTCAGTTGGGCTGTCAGCCCTGTTGCCTTCTTGGAGGAGAGTTGCACCAGTACAAATCTGAGTTTTCTCTAGGCCGTTTCCAAAAGTGACGGTGTTTCCAGGCTCTTCTCTGTCACTTGGAAATACACCCCCATCTCTCTCTATATCCAGTGTGAAGCTGCAATAACCAGCCCAGCCAGCATGCTGCCCAGAATTCTTGCCCCTCCTGGTCAGCTGCATTTCATCCAACCTC